TACAACTAGGACATGCTGATGTTTCCTTTTAACAACATCATTTTGTTGGGATGCCTTCACACAAGCAAGTTGATGTATAATACCATGCTTTGTATAAAAATTAGTGAGATTAAATTATCCAACATGATCTGTCCTAAAACAGTTTATAGAAGTTGAAAACTGGTTTTTAGCAAACTTATAAAATGAAGGTAATATACTTGATACATTTGATTTACTTATACGGAGAAAAATCCATGTGAAGTATGTGAAATCATTTCTAAAGTAAAGAAATAACGTTGTCCCCTTACAATAAGAACTGCATAGGGTCTTCATACATCAGCATGCACAATATCAAAAGCAAAACTTGTATTTTTAATGTAAAGGGGAAATGACAACTTTTTCATTTTGGAAACAGGACAAACATCACTATCAAGTCTTTTGAACACTGAATCATAGGACATTGTTTATTGATGACACTTATTCTACTTGAATGTGTATGGCTTAGCCTATAATGCCACAAGTCAAATTGCTTGCACAAAGCTTTACAAGTATTGAAAGAAGCTTTAAAAGGAAATTGTACAAGATTATCAAAACTAAGCTTGGAAAGAACTTGTTCATCTTGATAATCTTGTAGGAAGTATAATCTTAAGGAAACTTTAGCAACCCTAGTGACTTTCCATGAGAGGAGATCCTAAATACCATATATTTCATCAGTAAAAAGATTACAATTTTTCTTGCAAAAGGTAAGTTTGGTGACTGAAACTAATTTGAACTAGAATAAAGGGACACACATTACATTTTCTAATGTTAACAAAGAGGTTAGCTTTACTGTTCAAATATGAGTTACAATGACCCTAACATTATTAAGTAAATGTACAAAGCAAGTTTTTCACTAATCTAACAAAGCTAAAATTATCCGAAGAACATGATAATGTTCACTAGCTCCAATATTTATTACCCAAGAATTATGATTTACCTTGCATGTTTGATATTCTTATATTTGGGTGGAAGGTTATTCAAAGTATTAAAGCAAGAGTGGCTAGAAACAATACTTGCAAAGGCTAAGTTAACTATAAAGGGTTTGCCCTACTGAGTATTTGATGAACTACCATGAAGGTCCTCATTGTTTAAACCACTTTCACTAAGAAGAGACATCAATTTTTGAATTTGTTGCTTGATTTAAGATATCTAGGACAGAGTTTGTGCCAATGTGTTTTTCATATTGTTTGACTTTAAAGAATTTCCTACTTCAATGCAGACACTGTTAGTAGTTGGTTTTGTTTTCTTGAAATTCCCTTTTACTTTATGTATATTTGAAGTTTTCTAGGAATTTGATTATTTTATAACAATTCTCCTTTCCATGGCCCTTTTTTCCACAATGACTGCATACCAAAGCTACCTTATTTTTCTTTATTATCAATAATAGCCAACATAGTAAAGGACTTTATTGCTGGATTTGATAAAATCAATAAATTTCCTTTAGATTCTTCCCTCAAAATCATGTTATATGCTCTATCTAACTTTGACAAAGGCTCCATTGATATAGTTTATGACTTTATTGTAGAAAAAGTCTCATTGAGTCCATTAAAGAACTCGAATACCATATCTTTTTGGTATTGATTCGAGTATTTGTTGAAGCAAGTTAGGTTGTACTTACCACATTCATTGTGTGTTAGTGGTCTAAATTTTCTCAACAATTCCCAAATCCTTTTCTATTCAATAAAGTATGAGTCAACTGATCTAGTTCCTTAATTCACATTACCTAAGGTGTACTGTAGATTGCAAACACGAGTGTCATTTGGTTGTGCAAAATTCAGCTTCAGAGTGTTCTTGATTTCAAGGGCATTATCCATGTAAAATACATTTGATGCTATAGATGTGATATGGAATCCAAAAGCTAGGCCATTGTTAAATTGTTACATTTGATCCATGAACCATAAAAAAGATCTGTAACATCTGGTTTAGTGATTGTCCCATCTAAGAAACTTACCTTATTCTTAATTGACAATGCCAACATACTTGCTCTACTTAATAAAGTAAATGCGTCCCGCGTCAAGCTTTTGGACTCACCTATGAAACAAGAACTTAAATCCTTGGCTGAGGCTTATTCAAATCCAACCATCAAGTTTCATGCCAGGAAGGAAAGTATCAATTGGAAAATCAAAACTTTGCCACATTATTTCATCTCCTTGTTTAAGAATAAAGTTTATTGAATCTGACAGGGTTACATTAGTATTTTCGCTTGGTACAAGTGAGCCTGAAAATATTATCGGTGTTTATCATCTGTCTATAAGGATCAAATTCTCATTATTAGACCTTATTTTGAAAACTCAATCCAAAATGGAGTTTTCATTGTTGGCAACCTAGATTGGCTTCTTGGTTTCATCATTTTTGAGCTAAATTCCCGAGTACCAATTACCAAAAGAACTATTGTTAAAGAAAACTAGCTCAAAGATCCCATTACGAGAGTTTAGAGTTTCGTTGTCTGTCAACATGTGACTTGCTCTAATGGTACTAATGGAATAAGATAAAGACACATAAAAGCTAAAAAATTTAAGCAAAAGAAATTAAGTATGAGAAACTTTTCTAATGGCTTTTATTTTGGCCATCAATTACAAAGATACAAAATGCAAAAATTAAATAAAATTACAACAAGATAATTAAAGTCATAAACATCCTAAAATAAGCTAGTTCTTGACAAGTTTGTTGGTCACTTTCTTTATTACTTCCATACAGAATTTTTGACTCATGGCTAGTGGAAGTGGAAAGTATTTGCTTAAGCATTATAACAATGATAGAAATCATTTATTTTTCTAATCAAAGCACTATATCAAATTCCAACATACGCATAAAAGACTTGAAAAATCTTGTCTATTTTGAGCACTTAATTGTGACTAAGACTAATAAGAGTCTGTTTGGCCTGACTTTTTTTAGCTTAAAAGTTATTATGAGGCTCTTATAAAAAATAATAATTTTTAAAATTAATCTAGATCTGTTTGATATTTTATAAAAAATGATTGTTATGAATGTAATTGATGTGTATGTGATTATTGAGAATATAACTTTATAGCGTTTGTTATAACATGGAAAAGTAATGATTATAAGAATGTGATTGTTGATAAAATTATATTGTAATATTTGCTTTGAAAGTACTTTATTAGGAATATAATATAAATTTATAAAATTATCCTTATAAAAATAAAAATTGGCATATTTAAAAAAAAAACATTATGGATTTTGATGGCTTGAAATCATTCTTCCAAAAAAATAAAAAAAAATATAATTTGGAGGGCAAGAATTTGTTTGAAATTTATCATGTAAGGATGAAGTTACTCAATGCCTAATGGTTGGCATTGTTTTAATGGGTTCTCCATTTCACTAACTATGCTCTTTTGAAGTTGCCTTTTTTTTTTGAAAAAATAAACTTTGAATATTTCTTTTAGAATGGCCCCATTTTGTTACTAAAGGGATGAACCTCCAGCCACATACAAGGGGCAGCAAAACACAGCCACAACAAAGAAGAGAGAACCCAGAAACAAGATAGCACCTTAAAAAAAGAAGAAAACATAGCACAACCAAGAGACAACAAAAACAGGGCAAAAAAGGAAAATAACACAAAAAATTAAGCTTTAAATTAAAGAAGGAGAGAAAATAATCATTCACTCTGAGTTCATTGCATGGAGAGTTTTTTTTTTTGTTATACCTTAATTTAGTATAACTTTCAAAAATCTTTACTCAAAAGGTAACCAACCAATCTACACATAAGAATCAAAATTCCCTTGTTGCATTAGATATCTCAAACTTACTCATCAACCAAAAAAAAAACCAGAAATACACAAAAAAAAAAAAATTGGCTCAACAAGCACAATGATGAAGGATTTATAGTTGAAAAATTGGGGGTTGGAAAATAGAAGGAAATAGGGAAAATAATCTGTAATGAAGGATTTAGACTAGAGAATTAAGAGTTGGAAAATAAAAGAAAATAAGGGAAATAATTTATAATGAAGGATCAAGGATTCCCATTAAGGATTCCCATTAAATCTCATTGAGAACTCAGATTAAAATGAAACCAAATAAATTAGAGTGAACGGTTAAGGTTCCTACTATAGCGGAAAGAAAAAGAAGAGAAAATAAAAGAAAAGGTTGGCTGTGGGTAAAATGATTTGGGAAAAAAAAATTGACTTTCCCTCTACAAAGGGAATGACATTCCTTTGGCCTATTGTAATCACATTGTAATAGAATGACTTTACAATATATTTTAAGCAAATTAAATACTGTAAAGTAATTACATCCTATTAAAATGCAAAAAATCTACAACGCCTCATATATGTAGGAAACAAAAATTTGATTTTATTTCTTATTAATTCTTAACATTATGAGTGCGTTAGATGTAAAAACTAAAAAACCTTTATTTATTTGCTTTTAGAGCTTTATGATATAGGAAACTGTAGCCTGCAGTAATTATTTTTGTGACTATGAATGTATTGTTTTATTCAATTTTTTTTCTATATAGTTTTTTCTTCTTAATTGTTACAAATCAAGTGTGTTTCTTGCTCTCTTCATTTGGTTATTTGTAGTTTCTAATTCAAATGTGTTTAATGTTCTTATCTAATTCAAAAGGTACTAGTGTCGGAGCAAATAATATTTTTAAATAATTAAAAATTATAGTTTTAATATGAACAAAATATATGATTTTACTTCAATATAAAATTTGCATTACAATTGTTCTATTTAAGTTATTTATTCAATTTTAATCAATTACTATAATTTTACTTTTGTTTTTTAAAAAATAAAGTAAGTAAAGTAAATCTCAAAACAAACAAAAGTAAACAATAAAATTATTATAAGAAAAGCCAAATAAAAAATAATGATAAAAGAAAGAAGCTGGAGAATTGATTATTGGCCCGACCCAGTACAGGAATAAATGAGGGCCCAGAAAATGATCCAATAGAAAGGCTGGAGGATGTTCCCGCTCGGATTTTGAATGCCCGCCCTTGTCCTCTCAGCCTACGTCTCTATTTACTCTTTCCCCTAAAAGAAATTAAAATAAAAAGGAAACTAAAAACGAAAAAAATGTTGACAAAATTTCAACATCAAAATTCAAGAGGTTAAAGGGAAAAAAAAAAAAAAAACAGAGAGAAATGCAGAGACTGATTAGGGTTAGGGTTTCAAAGCATGGATTCTCCTGAACCTTCTAAAGCCCCAATTTCCTCTTCTTCTGCTGCAGCCTCTATTTCTTCTTCTTCCCCAGTTCAAGTAATTTTTTTTTTCCTTTTTACTTTTGTATAGGTTTTTTTTCCTTAATTGATATTACTTATGCTGTTACTTTATAGTGTTCTTACCATTTCTTGTATTTTCAGATCTCTTTCTAAGTTTTTTTTTTAAAAAAAAACTTTTTTTGTTGTTTTGATTTTAGATGGTATTTTTGTAAATTTGCTGCTGGTGATTTTTTTTTTTTTTAGTTTCGGTTTTAGATTTGTGTTTTGGGAGGTTTTGAGGTTTATAGGTGTTAGTGAGCATAAACTGTGCGGTTAAGTGACATTTTAATTATATTGGGAGAGTTGTAATTTGAAGTGTGTTTGACTAGAATTCCACTAATTTGATGGGTTTAATTATCTGGGTATTGGTCTTTTTTCTTTTTTACTTGAGGAATCGGGAGGTTCATTTCAATGAAGGGGTAAACACTAAACTTTGTACAAGGATGTGATTGTTCTTTAATTGGATGATGGCTTGGATTTAAAGTAGATTTGAATTTATCTTTTACTGATGCTATTTTGTCATTGGAGGTGTCTTGGAAAACAAAAGTTTCTTTGATGAGTAAATGCTGCTTGGTTGTTTAACTAATTGCAGTTCTAGATTTTACACAATGTGATGATAATTGTGTTTCATTTAGTTTGATCCATTAATTGTTTAATTGTATGCTCACTTTGGTTACTGAGAGAGGAGAATGGTTTGAAGGCAATTATTATGCGCTTTATGCTATGACATGAATAACAATGTCACACTTGATATTGGTTAAGTCCATTACTTTGCAACTGTCACCTTACATTCCATCTTCCTCCCATTTCTTACCTAGCTAACTGCATAGCCTTTACAATTGGATGTCATTTCCATTATCATTGTTTCTAGAATTCTTATACATCATTGTTCACTTTGATTTCAGGAATCCCCTTTTTCCAATTACATTAGCAGTCTATCTCCTATAAAGCATGACAAGGTGCCACATGTAGCACAAGGGTTCCTGGGACTTAATTCTCCCCCTCTTGTATTTACATCGCCACGTATAAATACACTTAGAAGGTTTGTCATCCCTTGGATTTTGGCTTTATTGCCTCCTGCTTGAATGGCTTCTTTCATTAACTCTGATTGCATGAAACCTTTGCCCAGGCCACAGTCATCCAGTGCGGAAGTATCTCAAAATGGTGAAGGAGATAAGAAAAATATAGATGGTCCTGGTAGGTTGGAAAGATCTGTTTCTGAATTGCAGCAGGGCTTGATCACTGATATTAAGAAGGAGGATGATACCAAGGACTCTGTATCGATCCAACCGAGTAGTTCCTCTGGCTGTGTTGATGAATACTTGGCTGATCCTGTGGAAGCAGACTGTGCAAACTCTGAATATTCCATGAATTTAAATTGCAAAGAATCAAATGATGCGTTTCAATCATCAGTAAATGGTTTACTAGAAACAAAGAATTTAAAATTTACTGACAAAAATGATGTGGGGAGGGAAGTTGATGCAGCTCAATTGTTGTCAGCGCAGAGTGAAGAAGGCCTTGAAAGAAAGTTAACCTCTCATGTCAAGCCAGTGAAGATTGAAGATGAGCAACATGCTGGTCAAGTGAAATCTGATGAGTGCCCCGAATTTGAGTCTGATGTATTTGATCTTTCTTCTCAGGAAAAAGAATGCAAAAACTTGGATGCTCAGGTAATGTTTGATTTCTGTCTTCCTGTATCAAGTTTGGAATAGCACCATGTATATTAGGAGATAAGGTATGCATGTCTTAGTCTTTGTTTTTTTTATGGCAGAAAGTAGTAGAGGACTATGAGGATAGATGTGATGGTTTCCTTCAACTCCTGCCTGGATCTTTGCAAAGGGTTCAGGCATATGAAGATTTTGCTGAAAATTTTGAAGGAGTTGCAGATGTTACAGTTGATAGCATGACAAATGATCTTGAGGTATAAAAGGATTTGAAGTAGGTGTGATGTAGGGAAATCAAAATTAGACTAGTGGATTGCATGGTGCTCTTTATTTTTTATTTTTTTTTGGGTTATTAAATGCTGCTAGGATTTTCCTTTTGCAATAGAATAATTACACAGTCAATGTAGGCTAGTGAACACCAACGTGGCATGAGTAGGCGTTGCCTTCAATTTGGAGAAGCTCAACCAGAAGCTACAGCAAATTGCAGCAGTTCAAGTCTAGCAAATGGTATGATCACTTCAAGATCAGTTGCTACAACTTCAGAAACAGAGGGTTTGGCTTCATCTCATGTGGATTTAAGTGTTATATCAAGACAGAGGCAGCTAGTTAACTTGTCCCATTTAGCAATAAACATGATTCCCCAGCACTATGGTGAAAAGTCTTCCTTAACTGTTTCCAAGCCATCAGGTATTGGCTTACACCTAAACAGCATTGTTAATGCTATACCAATGGGTCGAGGTGGAACTTCAAGCATGAAATTGGCAGTGGATTCTATGGGTATACAGGGGATAAAATCAGCATCTCTTATGAGCTGTCAGTCAACGGAAAACATGGAGAGTTGCTCAGATGCATTTGAGAAAGTATTGGCCGCTCCTCAGGATGGAACACTTGAAGCAAAGGCTTGTATGATTCCAGGTTCTGCTGCTTCTGAATCACTCTGCACCATGGAATCGATTGAGTGTCACACGACTCTACACAGAAAGATGGAGATTAGCTCAGAGCATGGAGATGGTAATGAGATGTTTAACCAACATAGCCCCAAAAAGAAACGGCAAGTTTTGTGATTCTTCTTGCAGATTTGTTAGTTCTAAGTTTGTCTCTATGATCAGGACCATTAATAGTTTATGTTTCTTTAGGAAGAAATCATCAAACAGCACTGATGGTGAGGGTTGCAAGCGTTGCAATTGCAAGAAGACCAAATGCTTGAAACTGTAAGTGACTTCTGTTTTTTCATGGTTGAAGTCCATATATATATATATATATCTGTATTAGTGCAATATGTACTTATTTTTTCCTCCTTTGTTCCTTTGCAGCTATTGTGATTGTTTTGCTGCCGGAATCTATTGTGCTGATCCTTGTTCCTGCCAAGGTTGCTTCAACAGACCTGAGTATGAAGATACAGTTCTTGAGACACGCCAACAAATTGAATCGCGTAATCCTCTAGCATTTGCTCCCAAGATTGTACAGCCAGTCACCGAGTTTCCAGTAACTAGCAGGGTATTAAACAGCTCCCCAGCCCAAAAACAGAAACACACCTTTTGCCTTGGTTTTTGTTTTAATTTAGTAATTTTATAATCATATTTTTCTTCCATAGGAAGATGGAAACTGGAAGACACCATCCTCAGCAAGACACAAAAGAGGGTGCAATTGCAAAAGGTCAATGTGTCTGAAAAAATATTGTGAATGCTATCAGGTCTGGTATTTATTGCTGCCTGAATCATCTGTCACACTTTCCATGTCATCTCTTTTAGTATATTGTTGCTGGTCTTATGAATCTTCTTTATATTGAAAAGGCTAATGTTGGTTGCTCCATTGGATGTCGATGTGAGGGGTGTAAAAATGTCTTTGGCAAGAAAGAAGGTGAGTTTTGCAAGAAATATCATTAAGAATGTTGTCTCTCAACACATTCTAGTCTTCATCTCCAAAACTAGAAAGTTGAGAAATATGCTCTCTCCTTCCAACATCTTTTAAGGGTCTATTTTGGGCTGATAATTAGTATCTTTTGGTGGGTAAGAATTGAGTATCAATGTTATTTTTATTGCTGTGTTTACAGATTATTGTGTGACTGAAGAGATAGTGAATAGAGGTGGTGGGGAGATATCAGAAAGCACAGTGGCAGCTAAGAAAGATTTCTTAAATCCTGACTTGTGCGATCCGCATTATCTTACACCTCTGACACCTTCATTCCAATGCTCAGAGTAAGATTTATGATTGTGATGTCCTAGTATCATTCAAGAAAAACTATATATATCAATACAACTTCTTTATTTGCTGATTACTTGCTTTTCTCTTCAGCCATGGAAAGAATGCACCCAAATCCAGACTTCTTTCCAGGAGATGCCTTCCATCACCTGAGTCTGATCTTACCATCTTAGCAAAATCTCCAAGATCTCCAAGAACTTCTGATAGCAATGACATGCTTCTGGAAACAAGCAAAGAAAATTTGGATGTTGGTTCTTACTGTGAGGGAATCAATTACAACAATGCAGATGTCCTTGGCGATGAGTGCCATCATACTCCACTTCCAAATCATCCCTCAATTATTATAGGTTCAACATCATCCAAAGCGAGGGAATTGACAAGTCTTTCACGATTCCCATTGGGCCCTAAAAGTGGTTGTCTCTCTTCAGGGGGCTCCCTCCGTTGGCGTAGTTCGCCTATTACGCCCATGTCTTCTTTAGATGGGACAAAGAATCTTCAGGGGCTTGACTCTGATGGACTTTCTGACATTTTGGAGGATGATACACCTGAGATATTGAAGGACACATCTACACCCAATAAGTCTGTGAAAACAAGTTCTCCAAATGGCAAGCGAGTTTCACCTCCTCACAATTTGCTACAGCTTGGGTCAAGCTCTTCAGGGCCATTAAGAAGTGGCCGTAAGTTCATACTAAAAGCTGTGCCATCTTTCCCTCCTCTCACTCCCTGCATTGATTTAAAAGGCAGCAGTAATCAGAACAGAAGCAGTTTTCAAGAAAATAGTAGCAATGATTGATTTTCAAACCTGCATTTTGGAGTAAGTTGTTGCATTTCACCGACCCTTTATTATGTGCAGTTTTTAGCCAAATCACTCACTTATGCTAGGTTTTGCTACATTGTGCAGCCTACTGCATTAGGTTACTTTCATGTTGGATTGTTGTACTTGAGCTTTAGAGAGCATTGAGCACCGTGCTGTTAAAGTTTCATACCTTTTAAGGTTTGGCATAGTCTTTGGAACTTTTCAAGTAGCGTTTTGCCATTTTATATGCATGATTGTTACCATCATAATTCTTTTTGGCATACAGGTACAAGAGCTGCCACATTTTTAGAGCATCGAATAAATTCCTGGAATGATGGCCTTATGATCCCTAGTCTTCCTTCCTCTGTTTCTCTTAGTTACTTGTCACTCTTTTCGTTCATTTGGATGGTTCTAGTGCAAGCCAATTATGTTTCATTCCTCATGATTAGAGGAAGGACTCGCCAAAGCCCAAAGTTGTTGCCGTCCAACCCAGCAAAAAATAAAAAAAATTATTTTATCAAAACTAATGTCCGCTTTTCTTTCTTTTTTAATGAGATAATTGAAGGTAATGTTGAGTAAGCCATTGTTGTCCTTGTGTAAAACCTTTATGTAAGAGTGCACCATTCTATCATCATTGTGATTTTTGCCACTGGAAGATTACTGACTTGCAACATAATTGTCATTAATTCAAGCATATATAATTTGCCTTTGAATCCGAACCCATGAAGGGGAATGTACTAATGTTATTTTGCGCCAATGATGAAAGCAATGGAACTTCTATCTAGCCAAAATTATTACATGCAATTTTCTCCCAACTTGAAGACTGAAGAACAGAGGACTACATCCATGATTTAAACACCATTGGCTGGGGAAGACCTTTCCCTGGTGGACTTGGGTTAATGATTGTGTAGGCTATTTCTTGTACATGGCTATTCTGCAAGTGTAAATACAATATAGCCTAAGCGCTTTACGAAGTTGGTACATGAATTGTATACAGGTCAATGAAAGCTAGAGACAACCTCAAATTCCTATACTTCCCCAAACAAGAAAAAGCCAAAGTTTAAGCATAGTTAGTTAGATCCATTACTTGAGCCAAGTTTGCCTTTGATAATAAATGAGTCTACATGACATATGGCATATGACCACACAACAGTATTCAAGTATGAAAGAAATGAATCCATCCAATTCCGGCTTTTATTATGTACTTAAAATACATAAAACGCAGGACAGCCTTATAATTGAGGTACATAATTCAACCAAACCAAAATTTCCTAGATTGAGAGAATGGCAGTGCGACTCCCATCCACTCTAACCCAATGAACAAAATTTTCCACCGCCAACTCATGGCGAGAAAGTTTATTTAGGAAAGCAAGATAGATAGGGCATGTTAAGTTGAAAAATGCAGCTATACCATATACCCCACACCAAGCATCTATCAAGAGTACCTCTTTCTAATCCTTACACGTAAGTCTGATTAAATTCCTTCTTCTCTATCTCCACATTGCCAGACCAACTTATTTGATATCACGATTGTGTCCCCTGAAGACCCAACATTGCAGTTAGCCAATTGCAGACTTCATCAGTTTCTTCTGGGATTGTATAGTGACCGAGCCTGCATGGCATATTAAGCATTTTTAATTGAACTCTAGAACACGAGTAGTTTCTGAGTGTGTTGTGTGTGTATGCGTGTCTGTGTGGTTCTTGATGAAGTGGAGCCAATTAAATACCCATTATAGGTTCTAAACATGAGATTCCGGAAACCAACTGAAGTTAAGGCCTGTGCTGATTTCTCTCCATGTTTGTATGCAACCACATCATCACCTGCAGCAAAAAAAGAAAAAGACTCAACTATATCCAGAAGAAGCAAATTCTTTTATGGCCCCATGACAGGGCTAGGCATCAAGGCAGTTAAAAGTCTAGGGCATAGTAGGTGCAAGTTAACCTCTTGCCAATATTGACTTAGAATCTTATTTGACGTACCTGCATATCTTAAAACTTTAGGATTTTTAATTTAAATAAATTTATCAGAGAACAAGAAAAGGAAAGATGAGAATAATGAGATTTTAAACCTAACAACTGCCTTTCTTTTCTCAAGTGTGCTAACATACAATTTCGAGCACATTAATTTGAAAGCAAAATGATTTCACATCCACTAACATCAATATATTTTATTAAACTAGTTTATTACTTATTAGGTGACAATGAACATAAAAGATAAGCAGTAAACCACTATTTTACTAGATGATGCAGTCTGATAAAGCAACCAGCATCATATCAAGATTTTAATGCTAAAGTAAACTTCTATATCATTGATGAAGAAATAGACTTATAGGTGAAAGATGCATTTCTATTAGCCGAAGTGTTGAGACATGAAAAATGAACTACATAATTGAGTGTAAAGTATGCACAGAGCCAAAGTTTGAAACTTCTATAGTTGAAGCTAAGTAAGAACGTTGAAAAGTAAGAGCAGTAAAATAATTAATAAGATAATTAGTATTACCATACATGAGATTCCAACAAAGACTATGTTACAGTGCACATTAAATTATATGCTTGTACGGTACTGTGGTTCAACATCCCAATTTAATGATAAGTTTTCTATGCTTCTCAGAATTGGCAAGCTATTAGATAGTTATGGCTCCCTCTTTGTTTGTATGTGCATGCGTATACGTATGCACGTGCACATACACTTATTTCCTAGACTTCTCTGCATGACTTAAATAGTGCAAGACATGTAAGTGTCTGACCTCATCATAACAGAAGACTGAAGCGTTCTATCAAAAACTCAAGATCTCTTGATACCTATAAATGGTTGACTTTGAAATTACCATGTGATGACATTACTCGGACTTGGCATCTTGCCTAAGACCCCTCTACATGACTTAAATAGAGTAAGATACGTCATTTCTTGTACTGAAGATTTCTATCAAAATTGTCCAAAAGAGTAAAAGTACCTAAGCCATGACACAGCAGAATGGGCAAGGATGCTGCACGCCTCACTGCCTGGATTGATCCTTCCATCTGGTTCCTCAAGGTCCTAAAAATAATAGCTATAGAGCTGAATGAAGTACATATAAACAAAGTACGAAAGTAGTAGCATTTACGTAAATAAGTGTAAATGAGTTTCTATGTGCTGTATCTGTGCAGTTCAAACCTTGAACAGGGAAGCCAACCACTTAGACCAACAACTGCACTTAAGTTAACTGGATACGGGTTTCCATTTCCATATTTCCCTAATATGTGGCAGGTGGCAGAGTAGAGAGCAGTTGCAGCACCCATACTAAAGCCACCAATTCCAAGTTTAACTGCACAATAATCATAAAATTCCTTTTAAGTCTCCATATCTATTGTAAGAGAGAGCACAACCACCAACTCACACCCACCCCCCCCCCCCCCCCCACACACACACACACACAAAAACAGAAACAAAGTGCAGATAAGAGGTCACATAAATGGATTCAAATACTTCTTGAAAAATGTTAACTTTGAGGTGGATGCATCATAGCAACCACAGAAGTAAGTAAACAGGGTTGTTTTTTTCAATGAATATAGTCAAGAAAATTAGATAAACCATCAGAACTATCTGTTCTGATGATATACTTGGTCAAGAATATTAACCCTCCTGACATTTGAATTGTTTACATGTCCACAGAGCAGTTAAATTATGACTAAAGGTTTAAGATTTCAGAAGGTCGCTAAGAATAAAAAACATACTATTAGCGGGCTCTGTTGACAACAGATTGGCAACATGTGCTGCTGAAGCATCTAAACCCTCCAAATCATCAGCACCATCTCCGGAAAGGTCTCCCACATCAGACCCTGAAACACATTACAGAAGCTTAGTTTATTCCTTTTCAGCATAGCAGTAATTTTAGAAAATACTTGAAATTCATTTGGACGTAGGGCACAGCAAATTGTCAAATATAACCTTGAGGATGCACCTGTCAGCTTGATTTTAGAAAAAGAACTAAAGAAAATAGCTGTTCTGAGAAATAAAATCTTACATGCAGTACAAGGATGTCCACCAAATATTGCTACTGGCCTGGTAGGAGCAGTTGGACAAATCCACTTAATCTGCAACATTAAATTTCAACAGAAACATATGATAAGTTGTCTGTAAATGAAACTTTCTACCCAATCAGAAATTAGGGGAATCACTAAGCATGTTGCATTTGCATATATACAAGCCACTAAGCAATTTGAAAAAATTATTTCCTTACATTTGGAAGGGGTAGGGTTTCCAAGAGCTGAGACCAGCTGCAGAACAAAAACAAAAAAGGGAGAAATCCATCTTAGTCACCATTAGATACCCTAAAAAATTTTTAAAACTCTTTTAACATTCTGAAACAACATACCAGAACCCAAGTTCAGAGAAGTTGCCAGCATTATGATATGTTTTAAGAATCTCCCATTAACATTTAGAAATAACGGTGCAATTCATGCTAGAAAACAACAGAAACATCTTAGTATGATTTGCTCTTACTAATTTTAGGAAAACAAAAGCTGATTACTTAGTCATTAATATTAGTATATCTTTAAATAATAATAGAACTTGGTCTGCAAAATTGGAAGGACAATCAAGGTAGTCCAGAAGTGGTCCCCTATTCTAAGTCCTGGCATATACAGTTTTCAGATTTGAGGTTGTCCCATGTAGCTTAGAATCCTTAGAGGAAATGCATATAACCAACTAGCCCTGTTTTATTAAAGTTTAGAGCTATATGATCTCTCCCATCAAATCAATCATTATGGGAATCTTCTGAGAGGGGCATAGAGCGCAAGTTATTAAACAAAATACTTCTCCTCTGGAACAGGACAAAATGTTGACATTTTGTGTCTCCTTTTCTTTTGCTTTCCAGGAAGAAAACAAGTTAATTATTCTTGCACAAGGCATATGCCTAGGATCAAGGGAAGGACCTAAATTTCACCATGTGACACAGATGAAATAGGAATAGATATGGAGTAAACACCGCAATCTAGTAGATAATTGATGGCTCAAACTCTTAATGGTGCAAATTGTCAATCCACGCTTGTCGTGGAATGGAAAAAAAAGGGATTAGAATAAGCAAGAAAATTATGGCATGTATCCATTAAAACTGCTGATTCCCACAATCAAGTAGGTAGTTTCCCACTTGATAAAAAACCATCAGCTAATAGTTTGATCTTAAAACCATGATCAAAGAAATGCTAATGCTAGCAAGGACAAACATCAGTAAAGTCTAGCATTTATACCTTGAGCCCTTGTCACCAAGACCATGCAGCCAAACTATTGTAGCCTGGTGGTTCCCTTTAGGCCTGACCACATGGGTCCTCCCAAACTCAAAAGTTCTAGCAGTTCCACTACCTGAAAAAATTGCAACTAAAAAGGTAAGAACTGAAATACTCAGAATGCTAAAAAAAATATCAATAATTACTTCATAAGAAAAATAATAATAAAGACTGACCAGAGCTCATAGTAGAGTTACTAATTGTAGCTATTTTTTTCTGATTTTTCCAGCGGCGGAACTACACTATGCAGAATGCTTGTAGCAATGGTGTAGACTAAGTTCCTGCAATGAAAATGAACTAGAAGTGACCATCTATATTTATAAGCATAGGCAAGGGTGGAAATGGAAAACAACCCATCAAACTAAATCAGCTACGACTCTGGCTTACACCGGTTACACACTGTCTGAAAGCCTTTGTAAAAAACTACATCAGAAAGTGAAAGG